TTCAGGAAAACAGGCTTTCCCTAAACCCCGAATCGTGGGATCAGCTCTGCGAAAGTGCCCATGAAGCAGAAGAGGGCCCTGCGCCCCCCGCGGGGCGGGGAGCATGACGCCTGCTGGAAGCTGCCGGCCCCCCCAAGGCCAGGACCCAGAGGATGCACTGGAGAGACCCCACTCCCACCCTGCCCCCTCCCCCCACCCTCCCCCCACCCAGCCTGGGCCCTCCCAGCCTCCAGACCCCTTCACTTCCACTGGGAGCTCCTGTCCTGGAAGGGCCCCTGGACCCCAACCCTAAGTTTGTGGTTCCTCTCCTCAGGGCCTCACAACTGGATGTGTGGGGTTCCCTGCTCCCCTTCTTTTCCTGACCCACCCCAAGTACTCCCCTGGCTTCAACTCCCTGGGCTGGGGGTACCTCAGTCACCCAGGAGCAGACTATCCCCCAATGGAAGCACTGAATTGACCCTGGACAACCAAAGGTTAAGGGAGGACGAGGAAGAGACTCAGGGGTTTGAAATCTTGCCAGCAGGCCACCCCAAACAGCCACAAGGTACAGGGTGTCTTTGGTTGGGGGACCCAGCAAGAAGGGGCTGGGTGAAGAATCACCCCCTCCGTGCCTCAGCAGAGACTGCAGCCCTCCTGAGGACACCACGCAGGGTCGGGAGCCAGGGCTCCCAGCCACCCTCTCTGTGGATTACCCGACTGAAACAGGAGGGAGGGGAGCTGCCCTGCTTCCTGCTCGCTCCCTGGGTCCTCCCCGCATCTGAGGCTAGGATGGGGCAGAAGGTGCCCCTCACTGGCAGAGCAGCGACTTGCCCACAGGGCACTTGAGTGCAAACCGGAGAACAAATGCCTCTTCTCTTGGCAGACACAGCTCCTGGGCCCAGCCAGCTCCCCGAAACACTGCAGGCAGGCCCCGCCCACAGAAGACCACAAAGAGCACCCCCTCCCCAGGAGAATAAGGACAGCTCCAGCTGTGGGATTTGGGCTGAGCTGGGGGGTGACGGAATAGGAGGAAGGGGGTGTTCAGGGTTGAGGACTGCCCTGAGAAGGTGGTGGGATGCCCCCTCCCTCCCTGACCACCCACTCCCACATCTGGAGCTGGCTGAGTTGGGGAGGAGGTCGGCAAAAGAGGGGAGTCGGAGGGCTGAACAGTCACCTGAGTCAGAAAGAACGAGGGCTGGCTGGGAGGAAAGACAGGGCCCGAGCGGCCCAGACCCAGTGCCGATGCAGACGCGCACCTCTGCAGGCGCCAGCACACCTGCAGTCGGGCCAGCCGAAGCCACAAAGCACACCTGAACAGGTGGTGACCAGAGGGCACCTGCGCCCAGTGGCCCTGCCTCTGGTGGCCTCTGTGAGCGAGCTGAGCAGGGATGGGCCCCATTGCTCAATGTGCCGGGCACAGCAGGGGTGTAGGCGCCCACGGGGAGATCTTTTGTGCTGTGGACCAATCAATCCATGCTCACCTGGGCAGGTTTCTAAACAGTAGGTTCACAAGACCCTCCTGGACATGGGCGTAGACACATGCATCTGCCACGAGGACAGGTGTGAATGTTCGGGGGAGGGGGGCACGTGTGCACACCTGCACAGGCCAGATGAGGGGGCGGAGCTACCAGCCAGAAGGCCCAGCCCAGGATGTGATGAGGTGATGGGTCTCAGCCTGCAGCCTCAAGGGAAGGCCAGGACCTCTCAGAGGGGTAAACCTTCCCAGCGATGTCATGTAGGCCCTTCCTCCTGCCTCTTCTCTCTGACCCAGTCACCTTTGCTCAAAGTTGGCCTCCACATTCCACAGCAAAGCCAGAGAGGACAGTTCAAAATAAAGACCCAATTTGAAAAAAAAAAAAAAAAAAAATGAGCGAAATAAAAATTTAAGAAAGAAAGATATAAAAGGAAGGAAATAACA